GTGTGATAATTATGCGTTGTGTCTAATATATGTTGGGCGAATTTTGATTTCTGCCCATTCGTTTTTATTTCCCTGATGTGTTCTTTGTATCTTGTTCTGAAGTTACATCCTGTTTGGCCGACGTATTTTAGGTCACAATCTTTACACGTCATCTGGTATACTCCACAAAGGTTGTATTTATCCGTTGTTTCATGTTTTGTTCTTAGAAGCTTTTTTATTGTATTATTTGTTTTGAAAGCTATTTTTATATTGGTATTTCGAAATAGCTTAGTGATTCTTCTAATGCTGGGGCCGAAGTATGTAAATTTGGTCCATTTTTTCTTCTGTGGTGTGTTGTTGTTAGGTGGTTTCGTATTGTGATTTCTCGTATATGGTGAATATTCATTATTTACAAGTATACGAGTTATAATACCTTCTTCTTTTATTGTTCCTTCGTTGGTGAGCTTATATGTCTTTATTCGATTGTGAAGGTAGTTGATAGCTGCCTTTTTATGTTCGTATGGATGACATGAAGTATTATGCAGTATGAGGTCGGTAGATGTAGGTTTCCTGTATATTTCGAATTTTAGTTTGTTGTTATTTGTTATGTCATGTTAATATGTTAATATGTTAATATGTCATCTACATATCTATAATAATCAATAATATGATGCTTCTTTAGAATGTCAGCAGTTAGCATGTGTTCCAGATATTGCAAGAACACTTCAGATAGGATGGCTGAGGTTGGTGCTCCCATTGCTAATTCTTCGTTCTGTATGTAATATCGTTCATGGATGTTTACGTAATTTTGTTCAAGTATAATGTCGAGTAAGTTTATTATTTCATTTTTCTCTTCGTTCTTTCTGTTGTGGTTTCTGCTCAATAAATATTTTATTATGTTTCTTACTTCATCTGTTGGTATATTAGTGTACATGTTAATAATGTCGAATGAGCAATTTCTGGTGGTTTCGTTTATTTCATTTTTCATTAAGTCGTGGATAAGGGTGGGTGAATTTTTAATATTAAATGTATATGGCAGCTGTAGAGTTTCTTGTAATATAATGTTCAGTAGTTTTGCTAATTTATATGCTGGGCACTCTCTCCATTTGACTGTAGGTCTTATTGATTTTTCTTGGACCTAACAATCATAACAAATAACGAACTAAAATTTGAAATATACAGGAAACCTAAATCTACCGACCTCATACTGCATAATACTTCATGTCATCCATACGAACATAAAAAGGCAGCTATCAACTACCTTCACAATCGAATAAAGACATATAAGCTCACCAACGAAGGAACAATAAAAGAAGAAGGTATTATAACTTGTATACTTGTAAATAATGAATATTCACCATATACGAGAAATCACAATACGAAACCACCTAACAACAACACCCCACAGAAGAAAAAATGGACCAAATTTACATACTTCGGCCCCAGCATTAGAAGAATCACTAAGCTATTTCGAAATACCAACATAAAAATAGCTTTCAAAACAAATAATACAATAAAAAAGCTTCTAAGAACAAAACATGAAACAACGGATAAATACAACCTTTGTGGAGTATACCAGATGACGTGTAAAGATTGTGACCTAAAATACGTCGGCCAAACAGGATGTAACTTCAGAACAAGATACAAAGAACACATCAGGGAAATAAAAACGAATGGGCAGAAATCAAAATTCGCCCAACATGTATTAGACACAACGCATAATTATCACACCATAGACAAAGCAATGGAAATACTCCACATAGAAAAGAAACGAAAGACGCTGAACACACCAGAAAGGTTCCACATATATGAATTAACTAAGCAAAATCTACAAATGAACAAAGCTTTGACTGATAGTTACAACCCAATTTATGATATCCTAATAAAAGCAAATCAAACGCAAGAAATATATCTCAAAACCACCTACTTACAAAGTCAATAGAAAGTCCGTCGAGTGTAACAATTTATAGGTCACTTCTTTATCACTTCTGCCTTACATGTTTCGGTTTAATAAAACCATCATCAGAGGCACATAGTACAATCCTGAAAACACCGCCGTTGTTTAAGATGTACACAGTTATGTTTGCTGCGTGAACGCTGCTACAATATGTCGACGTGTAAAAGCACAACACTTGCTAGGATTGTTGAATGCACGTTCAATTCTCACATTCATCCGAAACTGCCCTCAAGTTAAAACGTCAGTGTTAAAATATTTAAAAATTTAAAACATTTGAAGTAAAATGTTAAGCTCCTCCTTGTTAATTCATCCCGAAGATGGGAGATGTCAGCTTGAGGATGTATGGCTTATGGTTAGATGTTTCCTATGTGCTGTGTGTTGTGTACACACACTTACTTACACACACACTTACACCTACTTATCTTCTCAGAACCCCCCACGACCACCACTAATACCCTACAGGAACCAACCCAACAAGCAAGACAATCAGTAGCCATCATGACAAGGAACGTAATAGATCCAACATCAGAGGACACCAAAGAACAACAAGACCTTCAAAAGTGAAAGTGCAGTCAATGTGATGAGTTGAAGTTTAATTCATGAACTTTTTAACCAAGTGGTAATAATATAACTAGTTACAGTGAACTAAATTTTAAATTTTAACTTTTAACATTTGTATTTTTAACTTATATTTTATAAGAAGAACTTGACACATATTATTGAGCGTGGACCTGAACAGGATATACGATCAAAATAAGTGGAAAAACGAATGTGATTGCATGTGATTGTGCAACTGTGTTCGTACACCTGAAGATGACCTCTTGAGGTCGAAACATGTAGTGTGACAGTAAAAAAAAACGTGTTGTGTGGTCGGTAAAATTAACTCTAATACCTCAGTAATGTTCAGGTGTGTCTGGAAGACCACTGCTCTTTGTAAAATTTTGGAAGTGTACACAGAGCACCACTTTTATTTAATTATTTAAGAACTGTACTGCTTACAGAAAAAAGTGTATATATACATGGCCTTTCATGTCAGGTGGCCATTATTCTTAGCTGATTTGAACCAAAATCGGAATGTGTCAACAAATTTAATTAGGAAGAAAGCAGTCTTCTGGGATTTGGCACTGTGTATATGTGGTGTTAACCGACGTTTCGGAGGAACGTATCGCCCCCATCTTCAGGGTAGAAGAAAAAGTATAAGAAATCTGCAAGCGACAACACTGTGAGAAACGGTAAAGCAGACATATACACGGTGCCAAATCCCAGAAGACTGCTTTCTTCATAGTCACCGCCGTGAAAGCCTCAAATCTTACAAATTTAATTAGAACTCCCTGATATCATATTTAACGAAAATCCATTCAGCAGTTCATTCATTCATTTATTTATTTATATTCCATGGATCCTTACCTGGCTAGGAAACCAGTGGATATATAGTCAATGACAGATACAACAAGTCATGTCAATAACATAATTACAAATTAATTATACATAATCCGTCATGATTACTCATATTATCCAAGCCAAATCACAGTGAATAAGAGTTTTCTCTAAAAGAAATATCGACTTATTTAACTTGAGGTTAACAAGGGAAGTCTGGGACGAGGTTTATCACCAAACTGATGTAAACAAAGCTTATAGCCTTTTTTTAGACAAGTATCGGGACCTTCTCCTGAACATGTTTCATATAAAAAAAGTTGTAAATGTAAAAAACATCAAATCCAGATGGATTACTAAAGGGATAAAAGTTTCTAGACAGCGGCTTCAATTTCTATGTTACTTAAAGAAAAAGTTGATTCTTCCTAGGCATT